ATATAGTAGATATATATATATATATATATATATATATATATATATACATACAATATAATGATATATATATATAACATGATTATATTATAACGATTCATCGAACAAAGATTTGCCATAAAAAAACTTTGTGGTAGTTATTCATATTTTCCATTTTTAATGTACATTCTTAAGCATGTGTATCACCGAGAAATCGTATATATTCTATAAATTTACCTTTTTGTACATTCTTGACAATTTTGCGCTAATTGTCGATCAGTTTTTCGTATATTTGATTAGGCGTATAATAAAAGGAAAGAAACAAAATTAATTTTTTTTACTGCTAGCTTTGCCAACAATACTATGTTATTACTGCTATTGTTACGATTAATATTGTTACCCAAATACTACTACTACTACAATTACTATTACTACTACTATTACTAGTAATGGTATTACTACTACTATTACTATTCCTTCCATTACTACTATTACTATATTACTATTTCTACTCTATCATTATCAATATTATCGCTCCTGCTATCGCTACTAAAGCTATTGCTACTATTACTATTACTACTACTATTAATACTACTATTGCTACTGCTATTACTACTATTACTAATACAACTACTACTATTACCTGTGTCGCTCCTACAACAACGATTGTCATTTGTGACAACAATACATTCGCGTGTTTTCTATTTGCAGTTATAATTTGTGTAAATTTTGAAATTGGAATTTATTAACTTGCTTTATAATTTATATACCTTATATATAGCAATCCAATATGGACAATATATGAGAAATGATAACGATCGTTGCTAATGTTAGATAAAAGTTGCAGGCTATTTGATTAGGCGCGTTATGCGACATATTTGTAAAAAGTTAACAGTCAAGAGCAATTCCTTTCCAAATTAGATGAAAATTATAGTCTACAGCATGCAATATTAATTGTACTTTTCGTGCCATTGAAGAGCGTGGTAACTTCCGCAATTAATCTTTGTTCGTTCAGCTCTGCAGTGTCATGGCATAGCGAAACGCTGTCCCTCCATGATAATAATAATAATAATAATAATAATAATAGAACTAATAACGATAATAATTATTACGCTATTGGTAATGATAATAATTATAACTATAATTATATAATAATAATAATAGTAATAACAAATAACAGCAGCAGCAGCAGCAGCAACAACCACAATACAATGATGATATAATACTACTTTAAATATATGATGATTATATTTTTAAACTCTAAGTGTCGTCCCTAAGCGTGTACTACACGTGTTACGTAATACTACTGTACATATTACATGCGGAACTGTTAGTGAGACAGAGAGAAAGAGAGAAATGGACAAAGCAGAGAACAAATATTACCAATTTATGTTAAAGAAAA